ATCTTTTGATAATTGTCTTTCACTGATTGATTTACTTCGCTTAGCATAACGGGTATTAACTTCTTATCAGATAAGGTTTGCAAATATTTTCTTCCTTTCTGCTTCCATTCTGCAGGTTGCCCTTTCCTTTTGCTAGTGATTGTTTCAGTTGCAGGAGCTTTTTTTTTTTTTTTAATAGATTTTTATTTATTTATTTGACAGATCACAAGTAGGCAGAGAGGCAGGCAGAGAGAGAGAGGAGGAAGCAGGCTCCCTGCTGAGCAGTGAGCCCGATGCGGGACTCGATCCCAGGACCCTGAGATCATGACCCCAGCCGAAGGCAGAGGCTTTAACCCACTGAGCCACCCAGGCGCCCTGCAGGAGCTTTTTAGTTTGATATAGTCCTACTTGTTTTGCTCTTGTTGCTTGTGCTTTTGGTGTCCTATCCAAAAATTATTGCAAAGACCAGTGTTTTCTTCTAGGAGTTTTATGGTTTCTGATCTTTAATCCACATTAAATTAATTTTTCTAAGTGTTGCAAGATAAGGGTCCAGTTTCATTGTTTTGCATGTGACTGTGACATTTCCCTAGTACTGTTTAATGAAAGACTACCTTTTACCACTGAGTATTTTTGCCTCTCTTGTCAAATATTAGTTGATCATATATGCATGGGTTTATTTCTGGGCTCTTGATTCCATTCCATTGGCCTCTGTGTCTGTTTTTATGTCAATACCATACTGTTTTGATCACTGTAGCTTTGGAGTAAATTTTGAGATCAGGAGTTGTGATGCCTCCAGCTTTGTTCTTTCTTAGGATTGCTTTGGGTGTTTGAGGTGTTTTGTGGTTTCACACAGATTTTAGAATTGTTCTTTTTCTGTGAAAAATTCCATTGGCATTTTGATAAGTTTATATGGAATCTATAGATGCTGCTTTTTTTTTTTTTTAAGATTTTATTTTTTATTTGACAGAGAGCACAAGTAGGCAGAATGGCAGCCAGAGGGAGAGGGAGAAGCAGGCTCCCCGCTGAGCAGACAGCCCGATGTGGGGCTTGATCCCAGGACCCTGGGATCATGACCTGAGCTGAAGGCAGCCGCTCAACCAACTGAGCCATCCAGGCACCCCTATAGATGCTTCTTATTTGCTTTCGTGTGCTAATTTTGGGCTTAGTGTGTTTTTTTTTCCTAACTCTTTGAGACAAAGTTAGGTTCTTTATTTGAAATCTTATTTTCCCCCCTTGACGTATATGTTCAGCACTAAAAATTTCCAGTTTAGAACTGCCTTTGCTGCATCCCGTAGGTTTTGGTATGTTGTTTCTATTTTCATTTGACTCAAGGTATTTTTAAAATTCCCCTTTTGATTTCTCTGAGCTATTGTTTATTCAGGGATGTTTTATTTATTTCCATGTATTTGTGAGTTTTTTAGCTTTCCTCCTGTTACTAATTTCCAGTTTCCTACCATTATGGTTTGAAAAGATACTGTAATTTCTATATTTTTTAATTTGTTGAGACATGTTTTGTGTCCTAACATGATTTATCCTAGAAGACGTTCCATGGATCCTTGAGAAGAACGTGTATTCTGTTGCTATTTAATGGACTGTTTTATATATGTGTGTGAGGTCCATTTGGTCTATAATGTTTAAATCTGCTGTTCCTTACAGATTTTTTTTTTTTTTGGTCTGGATAATCTCCATTATTGATCGTGGGGTAGTAGAGTCCCCAGCTATTACTGTATTGCTGTTTATTTCTCCTTGTTCTGCTAGTATTTCCTTTATATATTTAGCTGTTTCAATGTTGGGTACATAAATATTTACTATTGTTCTATCTTCCTGATGAATCAATCCCTTCAGCATTATATAATAACCTCCTTTAGTTTTTTGTTTTTGTTTTTGTTTTTTTTTTTACCATTTTTTCTTAGTATTTTGTCTAATACAAGTATAGCTACTCCTTTTTGAGGGGGGTTACCATTTGCTTGAAATATCTTTTCATCCCTTCACTCTCAGTTTATGTGTATCCTTTTAAAGTTAAAGTGAGTCTCTATGTATTATAGGCAGCATATTGTTGGATCTTTTTTGTTTTTGTTTTAATCCATTCAGCTATTCTGTGTCTTTTGATGGAGAATGTAATCCATTTATGTTTAAAGTAATTATTGATAGGTAAGAAGTTACACTTGCCATTTTGTTTTCTAACTGCTTTATAGATCCTGTGTTCTTTGCTTCCTCTCTTGTCTTCCTTGGTGATCTGATGCCTTTTCATGGTGGTATGCTTTGACTCCGTTATCATAATCTTTTGCATACCTAAGATGGGTTATCCTCAGGTGGTTACCCTGAGGCTTATATGAAATATATTTATAACATGCTATTTAAGTTATTAACAACTTTGGTAGCATACAGAAATTTATACTTCTTCCCTCCTCAGATTGTACATTATTGATAATACAATTTACATATTTTCATATTGTGTGTCCAGTAACAAATTTTTGTATTTATGGTTATTTTTATTATGTTTTAACTTTTAAAATAGAGTTGTAAGTGAATTATGCAACACCATTGCAATATTTGATGATCTGACTTTAACTATATATTTACCATTACACATTGGGTATACACATTCCTATGGGTTTTACACATTCATATATTTTTATGATGCTAATTTCAAATAACCTATTTTTTATTTCACTAATGCTTTCTTCTGTTTGGTCAGTTTAGCTATTAAAGCTTTCTATGGAATTCTTCAGTTCAGTCATTGTATTCAGCTCCAGGATCTGTTGTGTTTCTTTGGTTTTTGTTTCTTTGTTGAATTTCTCATTTTGTTCATGCAGTGTCCTAATTTTGTCTGTGTATTCTTATAGTTCACTGAACTTCTTTAAGAGATTTATTCTTAATTACAGAACACATAGTTTGTGGATCTCCATTTCTTTAGGATTGGAGCTTTATGAGTTTCCTTTGGTGGTGTCATGTTTACCTGATTATTCATGAGCCTTAATTCCTTATGCATATATAAGTGGTTTCCTTTTCCAGACTTTATGGGTTTGCTTCAGTAGGAAAAGACCTTCACCATTCAGCTTAGTTTGGGTTAGTTGGTGGGTCATCTAGTAGCATTTGTCGTTGGCAGGGCATGCTGTCAGGGTCTCTAGTTGCGTGGGGCCGCTGCCCATACTCTGATCAGGGTTGGAGGCTGGGGCTCTACTCTCTGGGCTCCTTGGTTGGGTGGGTCTGCTGGTTGGGCTCTGTGTTCAAGCAGGGATGCTGAGCAGACACCCCGGTGGGTTGTACCTGCTGGCTGTGCTACATGGTCACATGGGGCCTCTACATGCATCTTACAGTCACCTCTGGTTGGGAGCTGGTCCCTGGATGTGTTCTCTGGAAGGGCGGTGCTACTGGGCAGACTCTATGATTGGGCAGGGCTATGGTGGGTCTCCACCATTGCTCCTGGTTGGGTGGGGTCTCAAGCTATGGTCCCTGACCAGATGGTTTTGCTGGCTAGACTCTGTTCAGGCAGGACCATAGGCAGGGCTTCATGATTAGACCTGGCCTCAGGCTGTGCTTTGTGATTAGACTGTGCCCTGAAGTTGGATAGGTCTGCAGGCTTCACTTCAAGATCAGGGAGCCACTGGCTATGCTCTGCTGTCGAGCAACATTGCTGGCTGGCATGGCTGGTGGGGATGGGCCTCCAGCTGTATCCTGTAGTTTGCTGGGGCTAGGGGCTGTGTCCTGTGTTTCGGTGGGGTCACTGTCTAGGCTCCCTGTCTGGACAAGGCCGGAAGCTATGTCTGACATTTGGGTAGGTTTGTAGGCTGGCCTTCAAGGTTGCTTAGGGTTACTGTTCTGGCTCCCTGGTTATGTGGGACCAGAGACTGTGCTCAACAATTGGGCAGGGCTGCTGGTTTGACTCCCTGCCCAAAGTGGGGCTGGAGGATGGGGTCAGTGGCTGCCCAGATTCTCTGGTCAGGCTTCCTGTATGGTCCGGATGACGGGAGACTACACTCAGTAGTTGAGTGGGGCTGCAGATTTGCTTCCTTGACTGGGTGGGGTGGTAGAATGGGCTCCAGAGCTGGTTTCAGTCCGTTGACTGGGGCTCCTAATCAGGGATAACTGCCAACTGAGTTCCCTAGCTACATAGGGCTACCTGCTCAGCTCTGCAGATGCGTGGAATTACTGGCCAGGATCTTTGCTCATGATCTGCTGTAGCAGGAACATGGTCCAACAGGATTTGAGTGTTGGTTAGTGGAAGTTCTGCCCTGTTTCTGTCTTTCTGATTCCCAGTGGTCCCTGTGAGCTGAGACCCAGGTGGGCCTTCTAGGAACCATCCCCCAGTGCTAGGGGACCTGGAGGTCCTCCTTCTTCCCCACTGAAGAAACCACAGCTCACTGCTGGCATGAGGGAGGGGTGATTTGGTCAGTTTTTTTTTCACTTCTCCTGCCCTTCTCATTTGGCCCTTTGTCTCTGGTCCCCAAGGGTGCATTCAGGGGTTTTCACTGTGGTGTCTATGGATAGCTGCTAGTGGTCTTGTGATGGAGACAGAAATTGGGAATAACCTATGTTGCTGTCTTGATGTCCCTGAAATCTGCATTTTGGTATTGAGAGAAATCCAGCTACGTGGAGTCCACACACATCTTCCCCAAGCCACCACCTGCCTCCCCTCATGCTTTCCCTGATTAGACCTCATTCCCCCTTTCTGGCCTCCCATCCCATATGTGACTCCTCTTCAAGATAACCTTTTATCCTGCTTTGACCAGGTAAAGAATATGGGGAGAGGAAAACAGAAGCATTGGTTAAAGGCCCACTTCCTTTGCCCTCATGCTTCCACCTGGCCCCTAGTTTTGTGTACACTCTCATTGGCCAGGTTTTGCCTCCACCTTCCTTGTTCCATTACCACTGTTTTGGGCCAGGAGAACACCTGTGTGGTGGCAAAGCCTTAAGCCTGCCTTGTCATCCTCTGTGGTGGTACCCTGTGAGGAGGGTGGGCAGTTTTGCATAAACCAGTTGTTACTTTGTAATTGAAGAACATATTTTGTTTATTTTAGATGTAATTAAAGAATCTGGTGCAAAGCACAAGGGATTGATTGAAATACTCAACCTTTCTGAAGAAAGTGAAGTAGATGACACTGAGGTGAGGTATCTGCTGGTTTCTTTTGTTTAAAAGGTCAAGTTTCTGCTATATATATTGGGCATTTGAAAAACTGTTAATAGACTGTGATTCCTGTATGGCAGTTTTGGTGAACTATGTAGGATTTGTTTGCCAAGCAGGTGTGCTAGACTGTGGGAGGCAGGGTGAAGTGTGGAGCGGAGGGGTGTAGGAAGAAGAAGAGGAAGCCCCAGAAGCCCTAGACTGGCCTGCATTCCAGGTGTGGGGCCCATACAGGTGCCCGTGCCCTCCCTGGCCCCTTCCTCTGTGACTCCGGGATGGTAGCAGGTAAATGTGACCTTATACGGACTGGAGTGTGCTCAGGCGGATGAATGGGGTTTCTGCATCTTTGTGGTTTCCCTTTAATAGTGAAAATTCTCCACTTTAGCTGTCCCCTCTTTCAGTTATATTGCATGGTTTTGGTAAACTAGTTGCGGCATTGCTTTTGCCTGGCTCTCCTGGGGGGTGGAGCTTTGTGGAGCTCCCAGGTTGGGTTTTCAGGGACTGTCCTCTTGAAGCTGAGAAGCTTGCTTCCTGGGGGAAGAGGGGAATGACCATTTGTACCATTTGTTGATTTTCCAAACTAAGATAGTTTGACAGGGGGTCTTTTTGATTTGTGAACATATTTAAATGTGAATTCTTAACAAAGATAGAAAAACTAAGCCATACTGAGATACATGCCTATGACTGGCCTTTAGTAAAGGTTATAAAATGCCATAAAAGTGGGGCTCAGACCCATCTTTAGATGTATGGTTGCCATGTTTAAGGGCTGTGATTTCACTTCACTATATTAAGATCCAGCTGGAAAGGTTTTCATCAGCATATTAAGCTGGCCTTTTAGATTCAGCCCTTGGTGGCGTTACATGACAAACTGGGACCCACCACCCGGGATCAGGATCAGCTCAAGGGAATCACAGGAACACTAAGTATTTCAAACCAACACCTCTTTTCATTCTGAGAATACCACAGAAGCATCCCCAGGGCGGCATTCAGATGCTTCCTTCTTCCTATCTGCCCTCTTCTCCCCCCACCCATCTCTCTTCTTGTCCCTTCTCCTCCTTCCCTCTTTTTTTCTTCCTTTCCCAATTTTCCTCCACGTCAAAAAAGTGTAGCCCCAAGGCCACGTTATTGTGGGAACTTGATTTTCCTAATTACACTGGCTTTGGGGTTCTAGACCAGCGCTGTTCAATAGAAATACAATGCAAGCCGCATACAGAATTTAAATTTTTCTAGTAGCCATATTAAAAAAGTTAAAAGAAACAGGTGAAATTAATTTTAATATTTTTATTTAACCAAGTATATAAAAATACCATTTTAACATGTAATTAGTATCAAAATTACTGAGATTTCACATTCTTTTTTTTGTATTAAGTCTTCAAAGTCTGTTGTGTATTATTTTACACTTCTAACGCATCTCAAATCAGACCAGCCACATTTCAAGTGCTCAACAGCCAAATGTGGCTAGTGGCTACCATACTGGACAGCGCATTTCTAGACCCTGATAAAAGCCATGGGGTGACTACATCATCAATATAATACATATACATATACACATAACATTTTATATGCAAATTAAGGGGTTCACATTTCTAAGAAGTCCACTCCAGATTTGGCCATCAACCCAGTCAATGGACCTTTGATTAAAAAACCCTTACATGTTCTCAAAGTCTGTGAAGAAATCTGGCACAACTCTCTTATATCCACTTCTTCCTCTTCCCGCAGGATCACAGCACTTCTCCCAGCCGTATGTCCTCAGGTTGTGAGAGAACATCAAACGAGATTTTTCTTAGGTTTGTATTTTTCTGATTTGTAGGTGAATGTGAGTAAAAAGAAAGGAGATGGGGATATACTGAAGGATCTTATGAAAACTGCAGGCACCGCCAAGGTCAGAGAGGCTCTTGGAGATTACCTGAAGGCACTTAAGACGGGTAAAGGAGGCAACCCTTGTGAACCAGAGGGTCCCTTTTCTATTTACCCGAGTTATGCTCTGTACTGTGGTCTGGATTCCCAGAGGTTAGGGTGATGTCTGTGAGGCTTCTGAAACAACTCTTTATGCTGCAGGATAAACTGTAGTCTGGAGGTTGAGAGCTAGTCACGAGTAAGACCATAATTAGTGACTGTTGGTATCATATACACCGCAATCTGTTTTGCCTATGGAACTGCTGAGAGTTTTCTGGAATGATAATTCATTCAGTTATTTGTATAATTACTTGTTCCAGGTTTATCTTCCCTCCTAGAGTGTAAGCTCTAAGGGGGCATGGAAGGTGTGTGTCTTATTCACTGCTGTATCACCAGCTTTTTGCACAATTCCTGGCACATTTGTTGAATGAATGAGTGAAAGAATGAGAGGCATTACAGATATAATTGAGATTTACCTAGATGGTATCTACACTGTGTGGAAGTGAGGTCATTCATTGTCTTCTTCCCTAAATTAGTCAGCTGCCAGGCAGAAGGACTGGGGGGCCTGTATGTCCGCACCTCATCCTTGGACTCTGTTATCAAGGTATGAGGTGCTGACTGGCCCACAGGTTGGAATACTGGGAGGCCAAGCTTTGGGAGGTGGTGGTGAAGCAATTAAGTGTTTGGTTCTGACAGTAGGTGAAGGTCATAAAGCTAGTAGTTGGTTTATAAAATGGAGCTACTGGAAAAAAACATTGAAAATATCATACTTTTATCAAGAACAAAATAAAAGTGAGGCATTTGAAAAAAAGGCATTCGTTCCTATGGAACTCATGTTCATAATTAGTTTTATATGTTAAAAACATGGTAAGGTCTTGAAATTCTCAATGATATAAGAATTCTTTATAAATATCAGTTCTCATTTTCTTATAAGCTGTTTGGATTTTCTACCTTATTGGTGGTGCTCAAAGGGAAAAAGTTTTGCTTTTTTGATCAAAATCACTTCCTGTATATTTCTTTTTAGAATTTACAGTGGCAATGATTTTACCAAGGAAAGCCATGCAACCCAGGAATTGAATTGTTAAAAGGAAACGGAGTGAGAACACCCTGCAGGTATGACCTCTGAGGTCAGTTTGCAGGGAGGTAAAAGGAAGTGCTTAATGAGGGTGCTTCAAAGTCCTAAATGATGAACTGGAAAAGGTTAGTGAGGAGGGCTGTTTCATTCATCTTTGCATCCCTTGCCATTTTGGGGGGAAATAATGAAATGAGACTTCTATCCTTGATGGAAAGGAATGTATACATAGGCCTTCTTATGAGATAAATATATAGTTCAAGACTGTGTGTCAATGGTGGGGTTCTTTGGCAGGCAACAATTGTTAACCAAGCAACTCTGAGGTTCACCTACCACAACGGAAAAACCTCTCCAGCCTTTTGGATTGGGAGGTTTTAGGTCCTGTTCTTGGCCTCTGGTGTTGGGCAATTGACACCCTTTGGCTTTAAGTGCTATTGTCCTTCATCTATTTATCGTTATGCCCTCTGGGCCATTATGTACATGTCCAGGAAGGATTTGGGATATTAAGCAATGGTCTGGGAGTGGAACAAAGCTGAAGAGCTCCAAGGAACAATGAGCTCTGTTTCACGGTAACCAGGATTGGTGGTGCTAAAAGGCTTTTTGTGCTATTTCCATGTGTCTGGAACATGTAGTATGAAATTTGGGGACAATTTGGTATGAAGAGTTGGAGACTACATTTTAAAATCTAAGTAGCTTGATCCCGGGCATGCTAGTTATCCTTCGGACCTCTTCTCTTGAGATCCAGGATCCCCATTGTGGCACTGCACATGACCACACTCTTTGACGCCACTACAGAGCAACTGTATGGCGTCTTCCCTGGGAAAGACACAAGTAACTTCCCAAGCTAGGATCTTCAGTGCTGACACTGGGAGACAATGTGCCACTAAGAACTGGAGCTGGTTTTTCACTTCCCATACGGCTATGTTCTTAACAACTAAGGGATTTATCTAGACGGTGGGGACAGAAGTCTTTAGGATGACTTTAAAAAAAAAAGGGAGTAAAAGATGGGCATTTTAGGGAAACAGATCCACATTTAGGGGATACATTACTGAGTTTTATCCCTCTGAGGGAGAGGGAGAGAAAGCTGTAAGTAAAAGCTACAGATTAAGGATAAGAGAAAAAAACCCAAACTACCTTAACTGTTAATACTTTGGATTTAGGTTAAAAAGGTGATAGGGCACACTGGACTAACATGTCTGCTATATGTTTGCTTGGTTAGTTGGTGCAAAAATTTTCTAAATATCCTGCTGTATTAGAAGCTGAAAAAGGAGGGAAATTCCAAATGTTTGATGGGAACATCACCAGTGAATATGTAGAATTGGTAAGTAATCTTTAGAGTTAAAGAAAAGCTGGGACTGACTCTTCTGTTAATACTGCTTTTTATTAAGTAGTTTCTATAGCCAGCATAGGGCTTGAGCTCATGACCTCAAGATCAGGAGTCACATGCTCTTCCCAATGAGCCAGCCAGGCACCCCAATATTGCTTTTTAAAATCCATGCTTTTAAAACTTGCTTTGGTTTTTTTATCTGAGCTCACAGAAACTTGAGAACATCATAAAGTTGGTCATAGTAAAGCTATGTGTACCTGGTTGTAAAATAAAAGTTACACATAGTAATGCTAAAGATGAAGACTTAGTTCGTAGCATAGTAGATGTGCTAATGCTTATGGTTTTAGAAGAAAGAAGTAGAATTCTTAACTCATGCTCTACAAGTTTCACATTTCGGCCACCTAAATCAGTGAGGTCTGCACTGGGTTACCAGTGTCACTGCTCTTCTGTCCTGGAGGTCAGTGCTGGCATGCAGGAACAGTGGATTTTCAGTTGGTGCTGACGTATAACCTGGAAGATGGGACTGTACAGTTGTTGACTCAGTATTTTAAGTGCTCAGGGATTTTAATGAAAGGATTTTCTGTATTGGAAGTTTTAAAAGATGTTTTAAGGGAATTTCCCCTTTGTTTTTAGTTGACAAAAAGATCATCATGAAGTGGAGATGTAGGAACTGGCCAGAAGGTATGTTACTAGTATTCTTTGTTTTAAGAGTCTAGAAACACTCAAGCTCACACCCATGCCCCGGCACCCAGACACACTATTAAAAAAATAACAAGGAGTAGTACTATATGGACAGTTTTCCTTTTCGTAATGCTGTAATAAGCTTCTTATCTTCTTTCCAGAACACTATGCAAGAGTTGCCCTGAGCTTTGTGCCTATCCAGGGCAGACTGAATTACAATTAGACCGTTCAGGAGTTCCTATCTGTAAAGAAGAGCATGAAATTCTGTTGGTAGAAGCAGCATTTTGAAGAAATAAAAGGTTTATTGCGGCTGACCACCCTAAATGGTTGAATTAGAAGATTTTATAAGGGTATTACTTTTGGTAAGCAGGAAAAATGTCAAGTTTACCTCTTCCCCATTATTCCTTTTAAAAAAGACACTCTTAATTTATAGTGGATGAAATCCATGAGCTTATACAGAATTCAAAGCACCATTTGAACCTTTACTACAACTAGACTCTCACTGGATTAAAAGTAGCAAGCAACCTGTATTGGGTATGAACCTTACCTCCCATAGCGTTCCTGTGGGGAGAGACTGAGCCATTGGGTACAGATGGTTGCTGTTTCCCACTAAAGCTTGTCCTAGCAAGCTGCTTTCAGCTGTATTTTTAGTTCAGGCAGATAAAAAATAAATGGCACATCGATACTCTTCCTTTATTTTACTTCAGGGTTTTTAAGGTCTGTAGCTCTTAGGTAGCGAAGCAGTAGCGTGTCGCGGTTCGGAAGCATGCTGATGTGAGGCGCAGCGGGCCTTGTCCTGAGGCTGTTCCCTATGGCAGTTCTGCACTCTGGATGGAGGCCTGAAAGGCTCAGGGGTAAGTGACTTTTTGGACTGCCGCTACTATAGTGAAAGAGAATATGATGGAGAAGTGCTTCCCTCCCACTCACAGTTTTCTCATTACTTTCATCTGAGAAGACTAAAGCAATGTTAAATGTAAACAAATGAAAAGTCATCACAATTCGTTTAATTAAGTGCACAGAATAGCAATCAGTCATGTCAATAAAAATAAAACAATTATTTTTACATCAAGTGTGCTTTATTTCCTCCACAGGTATTCTGTTAAATAAAGCACCATTTATATACTGCCAGGCCACAGCTAAAGAGGATTCTTTACAGAATCAAATTTCTTGTGGTTGTTCCGTATACAAGTAAACTTAATTTTGATAATAAGAACCACAGCGATCGGAGGCAATCTGCCTCTATTATAAGGTACAAAACTGGCACAGAGGACACCATATTATACACAGTAAAAATGCTGTAAGTTTAAATTACATTGTACAGGGCCAGGGAACCCTGTCCCTCCCAGACAGCCATAGGAAGTGAAAGCCACTACAGTGAACTCTTAATTACATAAAACATAGCCATTATCTGATTGCCCTTTAGAAAGTATACTGAAGATGCAAAGTTTTTCATCTGGATTTCTGCCTGACCAAGGAGTAAGCCTATAAATCTATCTTGCCATTCAAGCAGAGAGCACTGGACAAACTGAAGCACAAAAACAGAAATAAGCAAAACTTATACAAACAGCATTGTGGGGAGAGGGGACCTTAAAAGTAGACATGCTACATCTAATGTCAAGAAGCAGCTTGGTTTCCTTTGCCAGATATCCTCGTGACCACATGGATTGTAGATTCAATGGTCCTACACAGAGTATCTAAAATGTCGTGTTGCTGCATATGACTAAAAAGTCCTCTGGAATGGCCACAACTGAGTGATAAAGCAGCCTCAGGGTCCTGGGAGGGCAAAGCTTGACCATCACAGCTTCTCAAGTCAGCTAAATCAGAGAGAACCGCAGAGAGTGAAGTAGAAGGGAACTCAGATTCTTCCTCAGCTAGGTTAGAATCCTTGGGACAGTGGAGGTCCTTAAATTCTTTACAGTCTTCAAATCTACCATCACTGGACTGTTCTTCTGCATGCTGTGACCTGATATTTGACATGTCTTCTGAAAACGAAGATGGAACTTCCATTCGATATTCTTTAACAGAACTATTTTCAGGGGAAGGAAGATCTTGTTCAGTTCCTGGATCAATGATTGAGGAGTCTCTTGTCTCATTGTCTGAAGTGCTAGTTGGGGTTAGGACCTCCCTGGTTTCTGTTTTCATGTCGCTGATACAGCTGTCTACAGTGTGCTCCTCATCACTGCTAACACGCCTTCTTTTAACAGGAGTTGCCCCTTCATCATCTGTGAAAATGAACATCATTCTCTGAAAGGAGTCATTAAGATCACAGTGGGAGTATTTGTGGGAGAGTTTCTTTTTAGCATTATATGCAAGAGACCCAACTGAACCAACAGCTACAATAAAGTCGGTTATACCGAGTGTATTCCCCTCTCCCACCCTAAAGGTAATATTAGTCCAGAAAGCTAACCTTTAGTTTTTCTTTCTTTGGCTTCTTGCTCTTGGAGTGAGTTTCTCTGCTGCAGACAAGTCCTACATTTGCTCAAAAGCTCTTGCAGAGTTGGAATGAGAGCTGGGTTTAATTGCTTGGGAGTGTGTACTGACAGGAGCAAAGCAAGTGCCCGCAGATCCTAGAAAACCCAGATGGGAACATTTCATATTCTAAAGCTAACATTTTGACACAGTTGTTTACAGTTTACCACACATTTACTTTCCCAGGAATTCATTCTGGTTTCTCAGGCAATTTTAGAGAATGCTAAAACTAGAGAGCTAGCATTAGCGTATTACCATATTTTATTGGTTCTAAGTCATTAATACCAATATTCTACATATTATGCCACTAATAAGGTCAGACTGAAGACTCAAATAGTTTTCTGAAAATGGAAAAGGCAAAAAAAGGGATTTAAAAAATAAGCCCTGAATTATCCATGAGAAATTAAGGCCTCAATCTAGATATTACAATTCCTCAAATACACTGATTTCTGGTGTCAGTCAAATAGTAAGGTGTTTCTTAGCTCTATAATCTAGTCTGGCATCTAAGCAACA